AATATAGTAACCTTAAAATATGATACTAATGTTATAACTCATATATTACAAAATCTATACTAACTCAAAAAGTCAAGGAGTACCTATTTGGTATCCCAATAATTGAACTGAGAAGTTAATAAACTGTGCCAGACCTCCAAGTGGTCATCTTAATATTTAAAAAAAAAATTAATTGTTTCTCTAATTGCTTATTTATATGAATTTTAGTTCTTTCTATTATATTACATTGAGCTAATTCATATTGAGTATGATTAAACTGCTAGCTTTGCTTTGGAGAATTAAAAAATTTTACTAGCTTATAGACACAACAAGTATAGAGTTTAATTATAGTTAACGCACAATTTATAGTTAATTGTAAGGTGTGAACCAAACAAGGTAATCTAACAATATTTTCCTATTCATTAATCAGTTTTTTTATATTAGCGCTATTATTGGTTACTACATATATTATTTTTTTTGATAAATTAAAATTATTTATTTCTTTGTAAATATGATTTTTGATTCTTTTAGCAGTATAAGAGTAATTAAATTTTTTAACAGATATGATTGTATTACACATTTCAAAATCAAAAGTTAATTAGTATAATGTAATTTCAATATACTCGTCTTGACTACAAGTAGTCTAAAAATCAGCTGTTAAGGAAGCAGTTTCACAAGTTTCTGCAATAAGTTTCTTAAGTAAACATACACCAGTTTCATAAGCTTTTTTAATATCTATTTTTATACCTTTATGACTTAAAAATATAAAAGCTATATCTAATTGACTAATTATTTTTCTGTATTTTTTTTTTCAACGGTGTTTAGAGAAAGCGAGTTAGCTACTAACCATTTAGCAGTTGCATATTGTAGCTTATTTTGTTTGGTAGATTTATGAGGTGTATATATATTAAACATATCATTTATTTATAGTTGTTGAGATTGAGAAGTTAATTTGTCATTAGATTCATTTTTGCTATATATTTTATATTGAGTTCATAGGTGATAAACTATATTTCCAGTTCTACCATCATGTTTGTATTTTCGACTATATTCTTTTTCAATCTCTTTAACAAATATTATAATTTTACAAATATCTCGACTATTTTCAGTTAAAAAATAATCCCAAACCCAACTGTTTTTTTTCTTATTGACTTTTGGATCAAAATTAACTTTAATTTTTTTTGATTTTGCTATAATACTATTTTCTGAAATTTGTTTGTTGCTTTCTTAAATATTTGGCTTTGTGAATTCTGAGCATATATTATAATTAGTATTATAGTCAGTATTCATTATATGATCTTTAAAATAAGGTATAATATACAATTTAAGCAAATAATAAGTAACAATTTATAATTAGCAAATAAACTAATTATTCAAACTATTTGAATAATAAATATCAAAACATGAAATAAAGTTTTGGAAATTCTATTACTAGTAAAAAATATATTGCTTTTTGATAAGCCGAGACTTGGTATAATTTAAAAAAATAAAAAATAGATCGCAAAAAACAAGGTTTTATTGAATATATGATTTGGATAAAAGTTTTGTATAGGGCTAAAGAATTTTTATAAAGCTATTTTAACTTAATAGCAAGATATTTTATTAATATTTTTTATAATTTTTTATAGTTTCTTCTACCATATTCTATTTTATTACAGTATTTTAACTTTGGGGCTATATGACTAGAAAGTATTTTATTCTATTTTTATTTTTTTTATCTTTTTTATATGACTTTAAAATTGCTTGTGAATTTGCTTTAGTTTTTTATATATTTTTTACACAGCTCATTTTTGCAGCCTCTTTTTTATGGTATTATTGCTTTTTTTTTTGTTTACTATTTATACAATTTGCTATAGTATTTGATTTCATCTAAACCAATTTCATTTTAATTATTTTTTATATGAATTCAAAAATATTAATGAATTTGTCTAATACATAGCTATTTCTATAACCTTACTTTTTTTGATATTATATTTATTGTTGTTTGTTATTAAACACATGCTAATAAATTTAATTGCTTGACTTTTTGAGTTAGTATAGATTTTGTAATATATGAGTTATAACATTAGTATCATATTTTAAGGTTACTATATT